TCTGCCCAATTTGCAAGCCAAGCAGTCCTGTCTATCATGCCTGCCATCCCATACAGCTGATAAGCGCATGTGGATGGGAAAGTAGAAGAACGAATAACTGGAGGAGGAATGATGAGGATGATCCAGGATGGTGATGCACAGAAATAAGACAAACGCGATGACGGTTGGAAGAAAGACATGACGAGATGACAGGATGTGAATAGTGGTGCTGGCCAGTGTAACGCCAGCACGCTCGTGTACATCGAACAAGACCGACGCATACACTACTGCGACAAACACGCTGAATGCTATACACTGTGACAACATCAATGCTGATCACTTGCGCAAGCTCCGCTGCTGTGTGACGTATATGCTTGCCTGCGCGTGTCTCCAGTCGGCCAATGCTGCTCCGCACGCAACAAAGGGTAGCATCGAACATGGGCTGATTGGAGCGCAGTGAACGACAGACATATTGGGACACTAATGTGTTGTGGCGTCATATGAATGTGCTGGAATGAAGGCGTGTGCAACAACCTCTGTGCCAGAGTAGGGAAGCCAATAAAAAATATTGATTGCCTGGTACGCCGACCAGACCACGTAAAGCACGTACCTGCACGCTGGCACCAACCAATCCACCAATCAAGAACCCAACGTCGCAGATGTTAGATCCGCTGTCACACCAGAAAACTGGGCAGCCAAACTGCAGACGAAGCGAACGTCGCATTATGGGAGATTGGACAATCCGCCATCGTGCCGTGTGAACGTTGAGGCGTAGAAGGATGCCAACATCTGTCTGGTCGGGCTTCTGAAAAGTTTGAGGGGCCCTCCCCTCTCCCGGTCGAACTTCGCCGACCGCATCGCCCCTCTCTCCCGAGGCCAGAGCCCCTCGCAGAGTACAACAGATTTGCGCTTCCGAGGTCCAGATGCTTCCAAGGCGGCCACATATCGCTCCAAGACGGGCCACGTTGGCCGCAAGACGACCCAAGATGGTTCCAAGACGGACCATGGGCCACCGAGGCGTCCCAAGAGAGGCCCTAGAGGCCTCCCAAGAGGGCCTCGAGATGCACAAATCATTGAGTTGCCCAAGATGTTTCATTGTTATTCGGGTTCTCGCCTTTTCGAGGATTCAAGCGTCCCAAAACGACCCAAGACGGCCACCAGGACCGCCCCAAGACGGCCTAAGAGGCCCCCAACAGGGCCCAAAGACGGCCCCAGAGGGCTTTTAGGCGGCCCAAGAGACGCCCCCGAATGTCCAAGAGGGCCCAAAGACGGGCCCTCGAGGGAGGACATGAAGTAACAATTCGAGCCTTCCGCCCCAAGGGGGCTCAGGAGGCCTCAAGAGGACCCCAGATGCAAACACCGCTGATTTCTCTTAGCCTTTTCAGTGTTGTGGGGATCTCGCCTTTTCGAGCTGCCGACGCTCCAAGACGGCTCAAGAGGCCCAGGCCGCCCAGAATGCTGCGCTGGCACGGTGGCGGAATTGCCAGAGGCAGCTGGATACCTCGCACGTGCGCTCAATTGCATGCACTGGGGGCACATTCATTACATCCACAACGCCCTGCACAACTCACACCTGATTTGCGACATCGTGTTCTGGTCGTCCCACCAACCGCACTCGCCAGAACACGCAATGTTGAGAGGGGCCGATCTGGCAGCAAGGCGGCACAAGTGGGCCAAGCCAATGATGAGAGACCACGCGATCACGAAGGCATCCTGAGCAAAGGTAAACAGACAATAATCCAGCACACGTGACACCAACAATCAGCAACATACGCTTCACTCAAAAAAGCGAACTCAGAATTTCGGTGCGAACACCGGCAGAAATGGGACATGGGACAACCTCTTTAGAACATCGCACCACCTGGGGCCACAAACCCCCATTCACATCCGCGTCTACCTCATCGCAATCGCCCGCCTCGCCCTCATCTACCTCTTCTATGATTTCGCCATCCTCCTCTGCCTCCTCCCTAAGAACGGACGGTTACAAGCGACAATGGGATACTAAATTGCGTTCTAATGACTTCCACTTTCGTTCGTAGTTGCGCCCGCTACTCAAACAATCGGTTTGGACACGGCATTGGAAACGCAATCGTCGTCCTACGATGCTACGGCAAACTTGAATATTCCTCTTAGACCACGACAAATTTAGATGCGGTGTGTCGGCTCTGTGAGACCAAGCAAGTCCGATTGCCAACGCGCCCATCCACAGGACGACAATGCTTCCTCTCGGGCCTGGACATAATGGTTTCGATTCTTGCGCTGGCGCGCATGAGAGAAACCTCAGCGGTTCGAACTGAAATGGTGCGGATCCGAATTTGGTTTGGATGTGTTGCGGTGGATCCGATTTCCGTCGGCAAAGATCCCACTTCAAACGATGTGGATTCGATATTCGCCGTGTTTTCTGTTCACGCAGATTTGATGTACGCCCTGTCTGACGATTCTACCAGAACCACGCGCGCGCGCATAGACTCTGGCCGCGCCCAAGGAGCTCGCATCGCAAGTTGCCAGTGAGGAGTGCAGGGCGACTCTGGAAATCCTGCGGCTGAGGGTAGAGGGACCAGCGGCAAGTTGGTTTGGGATCCCAGCGACGTGCGGGGGAATCCTGGGGCTTCTTCAACGCTTCTCCCATTCTTTGGATCCACCCAAGGACTGGAGGAAGAGCTGAGCAAAGAAGAGTGGTGCCCGAGTGGGGCTCCGAAGCGCACGCCGCCAGGGTCAAACCACGGAGCATCGAAGGTCGCCCCTTTCCCCTCCTTGCCACGCATCCGGAGCTGAACCACGGTGCAACGAAGGCACGAACACCCATCCAGGTCGCACCGTCAGGGTCTCACATTCGATGACTTTGGCTTCTCGGTGGTATTATCAAAGAGGCACTGGGCCACCTCCAGCTGTCTGTTGGCCGTCTTGGCGCTTCTTTGACGCCGGCCAGAGATGCGGTACTGGGTGCCTTTGGGGGGCGTGTTGGGAGCCGCCTTGGGGGCCTCCTGGGCCATCTTGGAAGTCTCTTGGGACTGTTCGGGAGGCACTTTGGGTTGTCTTGGGGCCCTCCTAGGGCGCCGTCACTGGGGCCGTCCTGGGCCCATCTTGGCTTGGGGCCATCTGGGGTCTCTTGGGGCCGTCCTGCACTCCCTCGGGTGCCCTTTTGGGCCATCCCGAGCCCTAATGCGGGATGACGATTAATAAAAAGAATGGGAGGGAACGATTCAAAAAATAGTTTTCTGTTATTTCTGCACAATTATCTGACTGGAGGAGAACGGTTTAAAAAACAGTTTTCCAGCCCGCGGCCGGTCTTTTCTAATCGTCATCCCGGGCGCCGCCACGTGAACACGACCCCCGGTCATTTCTTAATCGTCATCCTACATTATTGGGGGCCCTCTCGAGCCGCGTTGGGCCCCTCCTGGGCCGTCTCGGGGCTCTTTTGGGGGCCCTCTCGGGGCGAGCACGGCGCCCGAAGGCCCCCCTCGAGCTCCTCCTCTGGGGCCCCTGTCCGGGACGCTCTCTCTCTCGGGCCGCCTTGGGGGGGCACCTTCGGCGGTCTTGAGGCCCCGTGGGGCCGCCGTGGCACGCTCTTGGGGCCCTGTTTGGCCGTCTTCTGGATCTCGGCACGCTCTGGGGCCGTCCGTCTGCGGCTTTCGGACAACCGGAACCGCGGCCCTTCCGAAATCCCTGAAGACAATAATTGATGTTTGCCTCTTGGGGCCATCTTGGGGGTCCCCAGGAGGCCCTAAGAGGCCCCCCTACAACCCCCAAGAGGCCCCAGAGGCCACTTAGAGGCCCCAAGAGCTCCCCTAGAGACCCCCAAGAGGCTCCTAAGAGGCTCCAAAACTGCCCCCAGGAGGCCCCCGAGAGCGCTCCGAAGAGACCCCAAGAACCATCCCTGAGAACTCCGACCCACAACCCAGCCTCGGTGGCGGGATGGGCCGACGGTCATTCGACGTTTTGTATACGCTGCGTTCAGGAGCTAGCCACCAAATAAATCACTACCGACAAACGCGAGAACCACACCCTCAGCCCGCAGTCTGGCAAATCTCTGCTATGCTGGCGACTCCCTCTGCAAATCCTCGAGGCCAGGGGGACACCACGGACACCTCGCACAGGATCGTCACACTGGCGGCGCTCTCCGCACCAGAGGCACAGGCTGTCACGCCGCGAGGCGCCCTGGATCAAGCCCAAGGCTTCTCACACATACAGTCCTGATTGGCATTTCGAGCCGCGGCCAGCGGTGGCTGTGAAGCACCCAAAGGGGAAGAGAGTGGGAGTTGCCCTTTCCGTTGTCGCGGGTTTGCGATAACACGCAGACCCGCGTAGTAAGAGGTTGCCCCCGCGAGACACCCCTTGGGAATTTCCCTGCATACCCTCGAGATGCCTTACGCCGCTGGAGATACTCCTTGGCACTGAAGCTCCTGGGACGATCTTGGAATCCATGAGACACCTTTGAAGCCCCATCGAGGGTGCCGGGAAAAAACGCCAGGAAAAAATCGGGATCTCCCTGGGGCATCCTGGAACCGCGCCCCGGGAGGCTGGCCCAGAGGCCACGGGAAGGCCAGGGGGGGAGCCTCCCCGACCGTTCCTGAAGCCGCTGCGGCGCCTCAGAAGCTCCCGGGAAGTCTGTGGAGAGGCAGCCCCTGAAGGTCCTGGAGGCTCTCTGCAACACCTCGGGGTTCTTGCCGTCGCTCGGACGCCTATTTCCTGTGCATGTTTCGGTTTCGTGCGTGTTCTTTTTGTTTGGCTCGATGGTCCAGGATGGTCCTCGATGGTTCTCGCCGAGAAGAAATGCACACGTCCGAGCGATGCCAAGGGGTTCCCTGGACGCCCCTCCGTCCCCTCCCCCTGCGCACTCCCCTCTCGTCCCGTCCTGCAGGTCGCGCCCATCAACTGCTTCCCCCACGAGAGCGGGCCACAATGAGTCCCAACCATCGCCAAGACTGCGGGCTTATGACCAATCGAATCTGCGCGATCCACTGACAATATTGTGAATACTCTACTCGCATGCCCCCCCCCCTGGCAAGAAGCGGCCCATTTTCATCCGCAAGCGACCCGCGCTCCGATGTGGAGGAAAAGACTGTCTACGCTCAACGGCAGAACATCTTGTGATCGCTTCACTGGTTCGCGGCGACATCCCCTGCGACTGTGTCGGCGGGCTCGGTGCTGGAGAAGATTCTGTCTGCCTTCGCCCAGACTGCACGGAACGCACGCGGAAACCAATCATCATCGCAGGATGGTTTCTACCGCGTGTGAGAACTCGGCGCCCGCACATACCATTTGAGCGTGAGCATGAATGAGGCATGATCGTATGCGAAAACATGCGGCAAAGAAAACATCTACCGATATGAGAACATGCTGGTATTATCGGCTTGGGCTGGCGAGGGTGCGATGAGGGCCGATGGGGACCAAACGCGCTGAACATCATGAAATGTGGGTGGAAACCGTACGAGCCCACGTGCTGTTCCGTAGTGTCCAGTACACCTAGTAATAATCATGTGTCATTCTGCGTAACAAGGACGACGGGCAATCAAATGGCTCAACATATAAAGAAACAGCACGTGTACAAATACACAAGTGAAGAGACGAAACCCAAGCTGTCTATACAGTGGTGTGGTCGCGTGGCACTACTACCTTGGCCTACCCTTGCGCGAACAATACTGGTATGCTGACGCTTGAATGGCGCGGGGCGAATGGACTGCAAATCATATACGCGTGCCCGAAGTCCCGCTCTTCGCGAGCTGAGAACCAACACAGTCAAGACTCTGAACACTGCCAGCTGGAAGGATGCAGCAACAAACACATCAATGAATGAACATCACTCCCTCCCGCCAGCTCTTCGGCGAACGTCTCCGATAACACCGTTTGCGCCCTCCCAAACCACGCCACATATGCGGGCGTGGAGAACAAACGGGATTTGAAGCGGCTGCAAGTGGAGCCAACGATATCGGACTCAACGACATGCCCCCTACCTTATCAATATGATCCATGCGCACAACTGCGCGTGCGGGGGCATGCTTCACGTGCACGGTCTCTGGTGCGCACGCGCATGCGCATACGCACGGGCACCCACATCTGGAGACGCTCGCGTCCAAACGCACGGGTGTACGGCACTGCGCCTCCGTGCTCACATACTGTGCGCATGCTCCCCGGACAGCGCTTGCACTGTGATGCCCTGCCTCTCCTTTCAGCCCTCCGCTGCTCTCCCTGGGTCTTCGGCCGGCCGCCGCCAGCACAGTCAAAAACCCCAATAAGGACGCGCGGTAAGGACGCAAGACCCTTCGAAGCCGAAGTTGGGATTTCTGGGGCGGCGGACGACGAAAACCCCAAGGACGCAAGAGCAAGGACGAGCAAGGACGCAAGGGCACCCTGAGCAAAGTCGCGCGTGCTTATTCGGGTTTTTGACTGTATGTTGCAGCCCCGGTGACCGCACGACATAGATGACACCACATATTGCGCCACGCAGGTGGAACCAAATACATTGCACAATGCAGATTGAACCACGTACGTTGCACAGTGCAGTTGGCACCGCCCAGATTCTTCTTTCTAAAAAAAAAGAATAGACTCTCCCCCCCCCCCCGGCGTTATCCGTACCCCTTTCGGGTATGCAAATCATATATGATTATGACCACATGTCCATCCTAAAAAAGAATTTGCACTATCCCAGGGGGGCCGATATCGACCCCCCTGGGGGGTCCTGGTTACAAAAAGATACGCGGAGATATCTTGTGTTCTGACACATCACTTCTTCACAGAACCCTTGTAAACAAAAGCACAAAACGAAGTGCACATGCGTGCGCATGCCGAAATCCTTCAAAAACCTTCGGTGCCAGAAGAGTTTCGCAATCGAGTTTCCAAGCAGCATACAAAAGCACAAGGTTTCGCAACACTGATTTGCTAAAGAAGCTTACGCGCGAGCTCTTGCGAAATCTTAAGGAAACCATGAGTTTTTTCTCCAAGATTCTCACAATATGCTACCAAACGGGCTTCGCGCGCGCATGTCGAAATCTGTCGAACGCTCTTGCGCGTGTGCCGTCGCGAGAACCCTCTGCAACAAAAAAATGAAGTGCACACGGGCGCGTCGTCGCGCGCGCATGCGGAAGAGTTTCGCAATCGAGTTTCCCAAAAACATACAAAAACCACATGGTTTCGCAACGCTGGTTTGCTAGAAAAGCTTACGCGCGAGCTCTTGCGAAAACTTAAGAGCACCATATGTTATTTTTCAAGATCTACACAACATGCTACCAACCGGGTCTCGCGCGCGCATGTCGAAATCTTTCGAACGCACTTGCGCGTGTGCCATCGCGAGAATCCTCTGCAAGGAATGGGACGAAGTGCAGGCGCGCGCGTCGTCGCGCGTCGTCGTCGTCGTCCGTCGTCGGCGTCTCGTCGTCGTCCATCAAATTTCGTCGCCGTCGTCGTGGTCTTCCCTCCTCCCTCGTCGTTGTCGTCGTCGGCGTCGCCGTCCTTCCTCGTTCTTCGTCGTTCGCGTCGTCGCCGTCCTCCCTCCTCCCTCGTCGTTGTCGTCGTTGTCGTCGTTGTCGCCGTCGTCGTCCTCCTTCCTCCATCGTCGTCGTCTTCGTTGGCGACGTCGTCATCTTTCGTCGTCGTCGTCGGCGTCGTCGTCGTCGTCGTCGACGTCGGCGTCGTCGTCGTCGTCGCCGCCGCCGTCGTCGTCGTCGTCGTCGGCGTCGTTGTCGTCGTCGTCGTCGTCGTCGTCGGTGTCGTCGTTGTCGTTGTCGTCGGCGTCGTCATTGTCGTCGTCGTTGTCATCGTCGTTGTCGTCGTCGTCGGCGTCGGCGTCGTCGTCGTCGGTGTCGTCGTCGTCGTCGTCGTCGTCGTCGTCGTTGTCGGCGTCGTCGAAGTCGTTGGAGACGTCGTCGGTGTCGTCGTAGACGTTGTCGGCGGCGTCGTCGTCGTCGTTGTCGCTGTCCTTGTCGGCGTCGCTGTCGTTACCAAGTGCCATTTCGTACCCACCGTCACGGCTCTAAGAGATTTTGCAAACCAAGTTGCCGGTGGGTGGGTGGGATGTTTGCGCGAGCAGTGGAAGTGGTCTAGCGCGGTGCAGGGTTAGTCACTTCTCCTTTCTAACCAAAGAATAGACTCTACCCCCCCCGGCGTTATCGCCCCTCCTTTTCGGGTATGTAAATCACATACGATTCTGACCACATGGCCATCCAAAATATGAAATCACAATGTCCCAGGCCACACTGGGCTCCCCCCCTCAGGTTCCCTTGTAACAAAACACTATGCGGTGACATTGTTCTAGCATAACACTTGTTCACAAATCCATTACAGCCAAAAAAAAACACGAAATGCACACGCGCGCGTCGTCGCGCGCGCATGCCGAAATCCTTCAAAAACCTTCGGTGCCGGATGGATTTCGCAATCGAGTTTCCCAAAAACATACAAAAACAGGGTTTCGCAACACTGGTTTGCTAAAAAAGCTTACGCCCGAGCTCTTGCGAAATCTTAAGGAAACCATCGGTTTTTCAAGATTCTCACAACATGCTACAAAACGGGCGTCGCGCGCGCGCGTGTCGAAATCTGTCGAACGCCCTTTCGCGTGTGCCGTCGCGAGAACCCTCCTCAAAAAATGCGACAAAGTGCAGACGCGCGCGTCGTCGCGCGCGTACGCCAAAATCCTTCAAAACCAATCGGCTTCGGAAGGATTTCAAAATCGCGCGTCCCAAAAACGTATCAAAACACAAGGTTTCGCAACGCGGATTCTCAACAAAAGCGTGCGCGCGCGCTCTTGCGGCGTCGTCGCTGTCGTCGTCGCCGTCCTCCGTCCTCCCGTGTCGTCGTCGTAGTCGCCTACGTCGTCCTGTGTCTTTCCTCGTGTTCGTCGTCGTCGTCCTCTTTGGCGTCGTGGTCGTTTCCGTCGTCATTGTCGCCGTGGTCGTCCTTCCTCCTCCTCCCTCGTCGTCGTCGTCGTCCGTCGTCGGCGTCTCGTCGTCGCACCTCCTATTTCGTCGCCGTCGTCGTCGTCGTTGTCGTCGTCGTCTCGTCGTCGTCTTCCCTCCTCCGTCGTCGTTGTCGTCGTCGGCGTCGCCGTCCTTCCTCCTTTTTCGTCGTTCGCGTCGTCGCCGTTATCCCTCCTCCCTCGTTGTCGTCGTTGTCGTCGTTGTCGTCGTCGCCGTCCTCCCACCTCCCTCGTCGTCGTCTTCGTTGGCGACGTCGTCATCCTTCGTCGTGGTCTTCGTCGTCGGCGTCGGCGTCGTCGTCTTTTTCTTTTTTTTGAGGACCAGGGGCTCTCAAGGGGCTCCAAGTGTCTCATGCGGCACCACATGCAGACGACAAGCGACCACAGGCCCGTGGTAACCGTCCCAGGTGGAACAGTCACCCACAGCAGCAGGAACAAGGAGCAATGAACACACTGCCTCAAGCGACTCGCAACTGAGGAGGGCCCCCGCCCAATCCAACAGTTCAACGCGAACGGCAGGCAGGCGCCACACCTCGCGTTAGGAAAGCAGCTAAGTACGCCTGGAAGAATCGCGACCAAGCTTGGCCCAGACTCTGCGCGTAGCGGCATGCCGACGGGCAAGCACACAAATACGGGCTTCAAAGTGTTGCTCAGGAGTTCCAGGGAGACGAAGGCGGAAATAATGATAAGTACTGATGAAGGCATCACAGAGCATAGCAGACAAAAGACAGCGGTCAGGACCCATTCTCGGAAAAAGGAGGTACGAGTGGAGCCAGGGCAAGCCCTCAGAGGGGCTCGGAGTCCAAATACCCATCCAACGAGAAAAGGGAGAACGAAGGGGTTCGCAACGACAATAGTGTTTGAGGTCGTCCAGATCAACCGTGCAAGAGGAACATCCCATGAAGCATCCCCGAGGAGCCGTATGAAAAACGTGATGAGGTACAGAGGGAGCGGGACAGAAGCCGAAGAACCGCAAGAGGAAGATACATGTTGGTACGGGTCGCTAACGAACGAAGCTTCGGTACCAACCGCACCACCTCCAGTCTCGGGACTCCAGGAATCCAGGCACAGGGACGTCGATAAAGAATATCGAGGGGAAGAGAGCGGGGGCGGTAGAACGGGGCGAGCTTCTGTACGTATTGCTTCTGAACATCGGGCCGATCATACTTAATCACGAACTTCTGAGCGAGGACCCAGTCCTGATATGTGTAGAGGGCGGTGAGGAACGAGTTCGGGACACGGCCAACAATTCGCCGAGCAGGGCACCAGTCATCATCCTTAAAAATATTGGTAAACTCGCTCCTGAGACGGCCGAGCTCGTCGCAGCGGGCAATATATCTCGCGCGAGTGGCTGCCGCGATCTGCTCAAGATGAGGGAATTCAATGGGGAGGCCAAACTGCTTCAAAGAGATACACATGTCATAGGATTTAGCGTTGTTAGGTCCCGCAGTCAACAAACGAACACATGAACGGTATGTGTCACATAACGATTTGGAGGGAGGGAAGAGCTGGGCAACAAAATAAACCCACGATACACAGAAGGCTTGAAATAGAACAATAGACTGGGCTAAGCCAAGGTCTAGGTCACGAATCTCACGTGTGCGCTTGCTAAGCTTAACAATGATCTCATTCCACGCCACCTCCTGAATATCCTCCCCAATCCACACCCCCAAATGCTTTAGACGCGTGGCCACCTCGAGCGCTGGGAAGGGGTCGCCAAGCTCTTCAAACAAGTCAAGCAATGGCTCGAGCAGGTTATGGTAGACAAGGAGAATCTGGCACTTCGGGAAGTTGAGGGAGAGGCCCATCGCATCTCTCAGACAGCGCAAACAGTCAAACAACGGGCCAACTCCATCAAACAGGCAGCGGAGGCCGAAGCACAGGTCATCGGCACACGCAAGCGTCAGCTCGATATGCCCTGGGATCTTCCAGGGTATCCATCTAAG